GAGGCCAGGTGTTTTTTTAGCGTTCCCCCTCTAAGGTTAGGATTGGGGGGAATGGAAGCTCATCTGTGCCTAGTGGACGTTTCATCCCAGCAGCCTCAGTGCCTTGTTCTTTTAGATGATGATGATGATGATGATGATGAAATGCAAATGAACAAACGTGAAATTATTATAGCGGCAAATAAAATAAACAGATTTATTCTAAGAAAATATTTATTCTGACTGCTGATTAATTCTTTATTGTGGAAAAATGCACTTACTGTGAAATGTGGTTAAATGACTTATGTTAATGAGTAGTGTGTGTCGGTGTGTGTACTGTGTCTCTCTCTCGTTCTCTCTCTGTATAACTAGGTCACGCTGCCGTGTTCAACCTGAGGACTGTTAACTGTATAACTAGGTCACGCTGCCGTGTTCAACCTGAGGACTGTTAACTGTATAACTAGGTCACGCTGCCGTGTTCAACCTGAGGACTGTTAACTGTATAACTAGGTCACGCTGCCGTGTTCAACCTGAGGACTGTTAACTGTATAACTAGGTCACGCTGCCGTGTTCAACCTGAGGACTGTTAACTGTATAACTAGGTCACGCTGCCGTGTTCAACCTGAGGACTGTTAACTGTATAACTAGGTCACGCTGCCGTGTTCAACCTGAGGACTGTTAACTGTATAACTAGGTCACGCTGCCGTGTTCAACCTGAGGACTGTTAACTGTATAACTAGGTCACGCTGCCGTGTTCAACCTGAGGACTGTTAACTGTATAACTAGGTCACGCTGCCGTGTTCAACCTGAGGACTGTTAACTGTATAACTAGGTCACGCTGCCGTGTTCAACCTGAGGACTGTTAACTGTATAACTAGGTCACGCTGCCGTGTTCAACCTGAGGACTGTTAACTGTATAACTAGGTCACGCTGCCGTGTTCAACCTGAGGACTGTTAACTGTATAACTAGGTCACGCTGCCGTGTTCAACCTGAGGACTGTTAACTGTATAACTAGGTCACGCTGCCGTGTTCAACTGAGGACTGTTAACTGTATAACTAGGTCACGCTGCGTGTTCAACCTGAGGACTGTTAACTGTATAACTAGGTCACGCTGCCGTGTTCAACCTGAGGACTGTTAACTGTATAACTAGGTCACGCTGCCGTGTTCAACCTGAGGACTGTTAACTGTATAAAAGGTCACGCTGCCGTGTTCAACCTGAGGACTGTTAACTGTATAACTAGGTCACGCTGCCGTGTTCAACCATGAGGACTGTTAAATGTATAACTAGGTCACGCTGCCGTGTTTCAACCTGAGGACTGTTAACTGTATAACTAGGTCACGCTGCCGTGTTCAACCTGAGGACTGTTAACTGTTATAACTAGGTCACGCTGCCATGTTCAACCTGAGGACTGTTAACTGTATAACTAGGTCACGCTGCCGTGTTCAACCTGAGGACTGTTAACTGTATAACTAGGTCACGCTGCCGTGTTCAACCTGAGGACTGTTAACTGTATAACTAGGTCACGCTGCCGTGTTCAACCTGAGGACTGTTAACTGTATAACTAGGTCACGCTGCCGTGTTCAACCTGAGGACTGTTAACCTGTATAACAAGGTCACGCTGCCGTGTTCAACCTGAGGACTGTTAAACTGTATAACTAGGTCACGCTGCCGTGTTCAACCTGAGGACTGTTAACTGTATAACTAGGTCACGCTGCCGTGTTCAACCTGAGGACTGTTAACTGTATAAACTAGGTCACGCTGCGTGTTCAACCTGAGGACTGTTAACTGTATAACTAGGTCACGCTGCCGTGTTCAACCTGAGGACTGTTAACTGTATAACTAGGTCACGCTGCCGTGTTCAACCTGAGGACTGTTAACTGTATAA